TACTTCCATTACCCTTTGGAACAAATCGCTTATTGACCTGCGAACAATACCTGCCAAAAATATTTTTAAAAGAAAACTATATGAGCATATCCGTAGCCTACAAAGTTGAGTCAACTTACTTTATATGTTTATAGTTATTTACATATATATATTTATTGAGATATATATGTATAAATGTGTGTATTTATTTATATATGAATATGTATTATATATATTTTATGTATGTGTTGCATGTATATATTTGAACTGAAATATATCATGACAACTTAACTGTCCAAACTCACTCTCTGTTCTACCCAAGGTTAGCTGGTAGAGAATGCCATATAGCATTAAGCTCGCTTTTTGTACAAATATTTGGTGCAATAAAGAATAAATAAATAAATAAAGATATTAGATCTTATTACATAAAATTGCCGCGTAGTGGCGGTTACAGGGAACCCACTAGTCCATATATTTTTGTGGGTGGTGTTTTAAGAAACGAAAGACGGAAACTGAAAATGGAAATAGGCAGAGGCATCTTCGTGTTAAGAGTTAAAAGTAGTAAAAATATTTCTAAACAACCTGCTAAGCATGTAAGCAGTTTGCTATAGTTATAACATATATCCCCTGTGATGCAACCTATTGATGAGGCCTATGTTTAGCCGTGGACTTTTGATAGACTGTAATAAGTGATGTATTAATACAAATGGATTAGTAAGCTGAAGTGGCAGTGGGCCGGCCATATAGCTCGAAGAACCGACAACCGATGGGGAAGAAAGGTTCTCGAGTGGCAGCCTCGTACCGGTAGGCGAAGTGTAGGGCGTCCCCCCACAAGATGGAGTGACGACCTGGTAAGACATGCAGGAAGTCGATGGATGCAGGTGGCTCAGGACCGTGTTTTGTGGCATTCTTTGGGGGAGGCCTATGTTCAGCAGTGGACTTGTGAAGGGCTGTAATGATGATGATGATGATAATACAAAATTGAAGTGATAATCGAATTAGGAGTCCACCTGGCCCTTCCATCAGATAATAAGTGGTAATTGTAGACCATAGACAAATGAAGCCAACTTCAACCAGAGAATGCTGCAGATACGTTACCACCTCTGTGGGCTAAGATAGAATGCCTCGCAGTCTGTAATTATACTGTCTGTGTTTACCGTTCAAACCGGGCTACAGCAGTGCACACACTGGTGCTTGGCGGCAGAAATCACTACTTTAATTATGTACTACCCTCCTATCCATTACTTCCAGTTAGCAGCACTGTTCTCTTTAAGATTTCTGTGATATGTTTAATGATTTATACTCGTAATTTGATTTAACTATTTATGATTTAAAACTTATTGGTCTAATATAACTTTGTGGACATTAGTGTAATATAAATTATACATGTTAGGTACTCCTGGTATAAAACAACCATCTTGTATTATAATAAGAAGCAAATATTTCATATGCAATACGATAAGGTCCTACTGGCTAACGCTAATAATTAAATTTTTTGTCTTTACGTGTGCGAAATAGTTGCAAGATAAGCCGCTTAGTCGATGAACAACGACAAAATTCAAATGTATTCCATTATTACCACTAAAGTGCTAACTATCAAATTCACTTGGATCAAATGTAGCATCTTCGAGAGAAAAATAAAAGTACCTGAAGTTCTGAAATTTTTGTCAAAAAAATGTAGAAAAAAATAGTTTTGATGAGCTAGAGCGGGTAATAGGCTGCCACTCGAGAACCTTTCATCCCCATTGGTTGTCGGTTCTTTGAGCTATATGGCCGGCCCATTGCCACTTCAGAATTTGAATTCTTTGGGCTATGTCAGTTACTCTGGTTCTACTGCGAATATCCTCATTCCTAAGTTTATCGGGCGAAGAAACTCCAAGCAAAGTCCTCTCTATAGCTCGCTGAGCGACTTTGAGCTTCCTCATACGGCCAGCAGTGAAGGACCACGTCTCAGATCCATAGGTCATCACTGGCAACAGGCACTGATTGAACAATCTGATCTAGTTCTAAAGTTTTGAGGTATGTCTTACAAGAAGATGTGTCGTAATCTCCCGAACGCAGCCCAGCCGAGTTGAATCCGTCGATTGACCTCTCAGTCGAAGTTGGACTTACCTAGTCGGACTTTTTGTCCTAGGTAAACATATTCTTCAACAACTTCGAGCTTAGTGCTCCCAATCACTACCAGCATAGGTGTGACATTGATGTTAAACACGATTTTTGTTTTGTTCATGTTCATCATTAGACCTATCCGTTGGGAGACATTATTGAGGTCATAGAGCATAGTGGTTAGGCCCTCCACCGATTCTGCCATATGGACTATTTCGTCGGCAAATCGAAGGTGAGTGATGTACTCGCCATTGATGTTAATGCCGTATCCTTTCCAGTCCAGTAGCTTTAAAACGTCTTATAATGCAGCGGTGAAGAGTTTCGGGGATATTACGTCACCGTCTTACACCTTTCTACAGTGAGATAGGTTTCGTGCTCTGGTTCTGTACTAGTATAGCCATCGTGGCACTACTATACAAACACTTCAGCACTTCGATATAGAAAGTCAACTTGGCACCGCTGAAGGGACTGCAGCACCGACCAAATTTCGACGGAATCAAAGGCTTTCTCATAGTCCACAAATGAAAGACAAAGTGGTAGATTATACTCTTCGGTCTTCAGTACAATTTACCGAAGGGTATGTATGTGGTCTATGGTGCTAAAGCCATTTTCGAAACCGGCTTGTTCGAGAGGCTGGAACTCGTCGAGTCTGCATGCGAGACGATTCGTAATGGCTCTCGAAAACAACACGTAGACGCGACTCAGAAGGGTAATCTGTCTGGATTTCTTCAATGTCGCCTTTCTTCAAGAAGAAGACCACCGCATTTCTGCTCCACGCCTCCGTAGTGCGTAGTGCCACCGTGGACGACGGAATTAAAGAGCTTCTGAAAGACTTTTAAGTACCGGTTTTCCAACCGCTTTCAGAAGCTCCGCTGTAATTCATTCCTCGCCCGTGGATTTGCCGTTTTTAAGGTGCTGGAGAGCCATTCTAATTTCGCTCAAACTGATATCCGGGATATCATCGGAATAGTGTCGGTTAAGACTTGCTCTTAGATCGCTACTCACCCATAAAGCTCTCAATCTCACTCAACATCTCAGTCAGTTGTCACGGAAACAATGCTGCCACACATGTATATATTATATTTATTGAATATTCATACACTACAGGTCATTAAATTTTCAGAATAGCATAAGTAAAAAAAATTAAGTAATAAAATATGTAAACAACTGTTGAGGTACGCTCATTAAAATTTGCCCGGGCCAGTGCGTTTATGAGTCTGCTCGTTGTCAAAGATTTATTAACTGAAGTTATTATTATTATACGAAGTGAGCGTCGTATTTGGGACCGTGTTTCGTAAATTTTCATTAATTTTTTCTCGTATTTTGACATATCTATACCGTTACCATTACATCCATTAAAGTCCACTGCTGCACATATGCCTTACCCATAGATTGCTTCATAGGGTGGATATTTGCCGTAGCAGCCATGCTTGGCAAGCGGGTCAGTTTATTTTTTATTTTTAGTCGTTATTAGGAAGACGCTGCTGCCCATCTCCCTTTGTCTGATATTTTTTTTTATATAGGATAAGGGGCAAACGAGCATGCGGCTAACCTGATAGTAAGTGACTACCGCCGCCCATGAACAACCGCAACACCAGGGGAATTGCAAATGCGTTGCCAGCCTTTTAAAAAGAAGTAGCCTTCTTTTAGGTCAGTAAGTCGTATCGGTCAGGAAAAATCGCTGGTGGTAATCGATTCCACAAGGAAGTTGTGCGAGGAAAAAACATCTTCTAAATCGCACAGTGGTGGACCGCCTATCATCCAGGTGGTATGGATGGTATCGCAAGTTTTTCCGCGATGTGCGATGCTAAAATTGAGTGGCTGGAATTAGTCCGAACAATTCCTCAGAGCACTCCCCGTGGTAAATGCGATAAAATACGCAAAGAGATGTAACATCTCTACACAGTGCCAGTGTATCGAGCCCATTAGAAAGAACTCGGTCGTCGACGATTCGAACCGCTCTGCGCTGGATGCGGTCAAGTGGAGGGAGCTGGCACTGGGGTGCCCCAGCCCAGAGATGAGAACAGTATTCCATGCGAGGCCGGATTTGCGCTTTGTAAAGTTGCAAGCGATGTGACGGCATGAAATACTGTCACGCTCTGCTGAGCACGCCAAGCTTTTTAGAGGCCAGTTTAACCTTCCCTTCCAAGTGACCACGAAACTGCACACTATTAGATATGTCTACGCCGAGGATTCCGATGCTAGCTGAGGCAGCAAGGGGAGTGCCTTGAAGCTGAGGAGATACGACAAAGGGGTCCTATCCGAGGCACGGAGAAGAAACACCGCTAACTTCCTGACTTCGGGCTGCTATTGATAATTTCTCAACAAAACAAAACGTAATTATTGAATTTGGCGTGACCCGGGATTCAAACCCGGGAGCACAACATGATCAGCAGTCGCGATTACGACCACTAGACCAACGAGACAATAAATGATTTTGAAAAATATAATTGCTATTTACGAGTGAGCATCATTCTAAAAATATTAATAAACTTTTATCAAAATAATAACTTATTGCAATACAGCACAAACTAAATAAGACTAACTAATTAAATTCCAGTACATTTAACCGTAACGTCTATCACTAGTCGATGTTCTTTCTCAAGATGCGCTTAATGCACGTAAATGCTCGTTCTTACTCTGCTAATGTCTTAATTGCTTAACTTGAACTTCTTCAATCCGAACTATCCAGTTTAAAGTTACAAAATGTTTGTTCCATGGAGCAGAATATTTTGAGGTTTCTTGGAATCACAAAAAGAGGTCACAGTGCCTTAAGTAGTAATCACGTGGCGTAAAGTAGGTACGTGGCTAGTTCTAATCACATTGCATGCAAATTTCGTGTTTCCTTACGTGTATCATCAAACCTAGGATCGTCTGTTGCCTGGAAATTTATTCCATATTCGTATATTCTCCAGCTGGGTTTCCAGACCGCGGGCTGCGCAAAAACGTTCTATGACGCCAATCAAAGGTGATTTCGTATCGGGAGCACACTTGCCCTCTCGACGTCAAGTAGTCATCAACATGTTTTTTGTGTATGCTTCTTTTGTTTCATTTGATAATATATTGCTATACTAAATGATAAAAAATACATACAGTTTGCTAATATATTACTTACTAAATGACATTTTTTTTCTTCAAATATTTATTTATTTATATATTAATACGGATATTTATCTATAAAAATTATAAGCATGTATACACATTACATATATGTATGTATGTATTATTGTATGTAAATATATTTTGTGTATGTATGTACTATGTATATATTATATTTTAATAAAAATATACTTTATGTATGTATTATGTTTCGCACCAGCCTACAATTGTCTTGGGCACACAGGTTAACTGGAAGAGAATGCCATATGGCATTAAGTCCGCCCTATATACAACTTTACCTTAAGATGTTACATTTAAGTTTTAAAATAAATAAATATATTGTATTATTGATTTAGATTCGGTTTTGTATGTTACGAGGATGTACGCAGTAGAACCAGAGTATCCGACATATCCCAACGGATCAGTAAGCTGAAGTGACCATAGGCCGGCCTTATAGCTCGAAAAACCTTACTAACTTACTAAACTTAATAACCCGATAATTGATTTTAGCCAAACTCGGGATTCATGATTATATTATATACTAATAATTATACTACCTCTCAAACATATATAATACATATAGTCAGCTGTTAAGTGACGGATTCTTTTACACAGCCACCACACAGCAATTATTAATATATTGTAATTTTTGTATAATATATATTTGTAAGTGCCTAGAAGACTGCAATAAAGTTGACGATATGAATGACAAGCTCGTGGAAACTGTCCATGCGGTCGGAGCTAAGTCCTGCAAGACCCGCCGCAGAAGAACACAAAAACTCTCCGATCACACTCTCAATCTCATGGCTGTTAGACGGGAGATGAAGCTACATTCTTCAACAAATTTGACAGCATACAGGCAACTGAGCAGACAGATCTCCAAATGAATGCGGCGGGACTTACGCAACTTAAAAACGGCTTGTATAGAAGAAGCGATCGAGCGGAACCAAGGCGCCAAAGTCTTTGCCAGAGATCTGTCTGCTAGAATGAGCCAACTGTCAAAGCTGAAGGCCGAGTGTGGCAGCATCGTTTCAAGGACACCAGAGATTTTGAGTGAGATTGAGAGGTTCTATGGGCAGCTGTACACGTCATCGTTGTAGCCACACGCAAGTGTGAGTAACGATCCAAGAGCGAGACTTATCCGACACTATTCCGAAGATATCCCGGATGTCAGTCTGAGCGAGATTAGAGTGGCTCTCTAGCACCTTAAAAATGGCAAGGCCCCAGGTGAGGATGGAATTACAGCGGAGTTTCTGAAAGTGGGTGGAAGACCGGTACTTGAAGTCCCTCAGAAGCTCTTTATTTCCGTCCTCCATGGTGGTATTACACTGGAGGTGTGGAGCAGAAGTGCGGTGGCCTTGTTCTTCAAAAAAGGTGACAACGCTCTCTTGAAGAACTACAGACCGATTTCCCTTCTGAGCCGCGTCTACGTGCTGTTTTCAAGAGTCATTACGAATCGTCTCGCGCGCAGACTTGATGACTTCTAGCCTGCCGAACAAGTCGGTTTCCGGAAGGGCTTTAGCACCATAGACCACATACATACCCTTTGGCAAATTGTACAGACATCTGAAGAGTACAATTTGTCACTATGTCTGACGTTTATGGACTATGAGAAAGCCTTTGTTTCCGTTGAAATTCGGGCAGTGCTGCAGTCCCTTCAGCGGTGCCAATATGACTGTTGGTGTATCGAAGTGGTGAAGTGCTTGTACAGTAGGGCTACGACGGCTATCCAAGTACAGAACCAGAGTACGAAACCTATCAATTGCACAGAGGTGTAAGACAGGGTGATGTTATATCCCCGAAACTCTTCACGGATGCATTGGAAGACGTTTTCAAGCTTCTGGACTGGAAATGATACGGTATTAACATCAATGGCGACTACATCACTCACCTTCGATTTGCCGCCGATATTGTTTTTATGGCAGAATCGCTGGAGGACCTAAGCACTATGCTAAATGACCTCAAAAGTGTTTCCCAACGGATAGGTCTTAGGATGAAAATGGACAAAACAAAGATCATGTTTAATGTCCATGTCACACCAATGCCGGTGGTTGTTGGGAGCACTAAGCTCAAATTGTCAATGTCATTATCAGTCGACAGTAACGGTTTCATTTCCTCCTAGTTTTTTAAATAAAATAATTATATCTAGTGTTTATATCTATTCAAAATTAATGTCAATAGATGCAGTGTTTCACTGGTATTCGAGTGGTTAAATCATCCCGTGCTTTCGTGTTAAATTGTGATAGAAATATTCCAAAAACTTTGTGAGCACCTTAGAGATTTTTAAAGTTGCGGGCAGTTGTTTATTTTACAACAAATTTATAAGTCTCTTACACTTAACGCTATTTGATCTCCGAGAAGTGTATCGCTAATTCGGATAGCATATTAGCGAACGATTGGCGCTGTGGCTTACGCAACTAGAAGTTAAGTATATGAGACGCTAGATCGAATCCAACCAGCTGAGGACTTTTTGTTATTCTTTAACATTAATTACGAAAAATCTTAGTTTGTGATTAATATAACAATTAATATGAATTGCTCCGCCTGTAACAAGAAGATACTTCGCACAGACCGCTGCTTGGAATGTAATCAGTGTCATTTAAAATATCATATTGAATGCTTAAATTTAAAAAATGAACAATTTACGGCATTAACTACTGAATATAAATCTAAGTGGATGTGTCCTTCTTGTAATAATATAACTAAACGTAAACGATCCAGTGTCAATACGCCTGTCCAACAAACGCTAGTACCACCCGTAGAGAATTAAATGAATTCGTCCCTTGAAAATTCATGCTGTTCATTAACGGATTCCCAATTATTTTCGGCAAATGACGACAATCTCGTCACCATGGGCAAAATTAGTACCTTGTTGGATTAAAAACTTAATAATTAACTATCGGATTTCGTGGAAAGTTTTAGAAAAGCATTGAAAGATGACGTTAAAAACCTTGTTCAAGCAGAGATGGACTCAATGGTGCAGCAGCTTAAAGACGACTTTACTGTTACCACTAACTTTATATGTGATGAACAGTCTTCCTTGAAGCAAGAAATTGAGAATAAGAGTAATATAATAAAACACCTAGAATCTGAAACTCTTCGATTTCAAAAGGAGATTAATGTTTTAACCAATCCTTTAACATCTATTGAAAAAATATCCCGTAACAAGAATTTAGAAATTCAGTTAGTTCCACAAAGTCGAAATGAAAATCCAATGCTTTTATTCCGCAACCTGTGTAAAACTGTAGATCTTCAAATAGACGATGAGAACATTCATTCTTGCCGTAGATTTGCCAAATACGAAACCTCCTCCGATCGCCCTAGAAATATTATTGTAACTCTCATTAACCCACGTTTAAGGGATCAAGTTCTCTCCGCATGTTATCGTTATAATAAAGCCCACAAAGACAATCCCTTGAATACTAATGACATCGGATTACATTGTGAAAAGCGAAAAATTTATGTGACTGAACACCTTTCTCCGGAATGTAAGGCACTTCATGCTGCAGCTAGAAAATTTGCAAAGGAAAAGAAATATAAATATGTATGGGTTAAGTACGGGCGTATATATATCCGTAAGGAAGACACTGCGGCTTGCATACACATTAGAAATATGGATTGCTTAAAGAAGCTTTCGTAATATTATTATTTGTCTTTTTTTTGCTATACTTGGTTTATGTATTTTGTAATTTTACTATTGTATAATGTTGATTTACTATCAAAATGTTAATCGCTTTAGATCTAAAACAAAAGAGTTCTACCTAAATGTACTTAATAATGATTACGACATTATCTGTCTAACTGAAACAAACTTGAATAGTACTATTTTTGACGGTGAACTCATTGACACTCGTTATAATGTTGTAAGGAGCGACAGATATCAATCTAATGTACGTAAAGCCGAGGGCGGGGGAATCTTAATTGCCTTAAAAAAAGAAATAAATTTATTCCATCAAGATTCCTGGAATAGTGAACTGGAAGACTTGTGGATTAGCATATTGCCTAAAACCACTAATGTTTAGATTATTAATATTTGTCTATGTTATCTTCCACCAGATCTGCCTTTAGACTGCATCGATAAACTTTATACAAACTGTCAAAACGTAATTATGCGATATCGTAACACAGAAGAATTTCTTTGCATAGGTGACTTCAATACACCCGATGTTCACTGGTCTAAATCATCTCAATATAATTATATGATTCCTCTTCATCCGCGAGGTCAAAAAGCTAATCTGCTTTGTAATACCCTTAGAATATGTAATCTTGATAATTATAACAGTATACCAAATAGTGATGGACGATTTTTAGACCTAATTCTTTTCAGTTCGAACAGCATTCAGGTTTGTGAAGTGCAGCCATTGAGCCGCTTAGATCACCACGACCCCTCATTAGTTGCAGATGTAAATTTTGTTGAAATTAACTCAAATAACTTTAAGAACAAAAACCTAAAACGACCTAATTTTTTCAAAAGTAATTTTCCAAAAATAAATCTTGAATTAAAATCAGTTGAATGGCATAATATATTGTCAACTCATGAAGATATTGATAGCATGACTGACGCATTTTATGCAGAGGTCAGGAATATTATTACAAAACATACACCTATGACGAAAAGTGACACAAACAATTATCCAGTATGGTTCACACCTGCTTTGAAGCAAAGCTTAAAAGAAAAGCGAAAATATCATCGTCGTTTCAAAAAATATAAGAATCCTCGGGATTATGATACATTTTCCATGTTACGCAACAGATGTAAAAAACTTATTAGTAATGACTATAAAAATTTTGTTTCGTCTGTCGAATCTTCTTTAGATGATGACATAAAATTCTTTTGGCGTTTTGTTAACGATAAGAAAAATAATTCTAATAGCATTCCCAAAACGATGAAATATGGTAATCACATCTGTTCCGATGAAAAAGAAATATGTGAGCTTTTCTCTAATTATTTCAGTTCCGTCTTTGTAAATCCAGTGGAACCTAGTTTATATTCTCATAATGAATCATCCAATCGTAGTAATTGTATCTTAAGTGATATCGTAATCACACAAAAAGAAATACAACAAAAGATTTCGAAACTAGACCAAAGAAAAGGCCCTGGACCGGATGGTCTTCCTCCTTTATTGATTAAGAAATGCGGTAAGGAATTAAGTAATCCCTTATGTATTCTTTTCAATGCATCCATTAAGACAGGTGTTTTTCCTTCAGTATGGAAAATAGCTCATATCGTTCCGATTTATAAATCCGGCGACAGGTCTAATTGCGAAAATTATCGACCCATTTGCATCTTGTCTTGCCTCGGTAAATTGTTTGAATCATTGGTGTATGATTCTCTTTACCACCATATTCAACCATTCCTGTCGCTCAGACAACATGGCTTTATTAAGAACAGATCGACAACTTCTAATTTACTTGAATACAAACACTATCTTTGTAGTGCTTTCGCCAAGAGAAAACAGATTGATAGTATATATACCGATTTCTCGAAAGCATTCGATAAAGTAAATCATTATATTTTATGTATCAAATTAGCATGTTACGGAATACATGGGAATCTGTTGAGATGGACTGAATCATACCTCAACAGGAGGAGTTAGTTAGTTACTATAAAAGGTTTCAAATCCTCACCCGCCCCTGTGACATCGGGTGTGCCACAAGGGTCCCATTTAGGTCCTTTATTTTTTATAACATTTATTAACGATCTTATTGATAAATTAACATGTCCATGCCTGTTGTATGCAGATGATTTGAAGCTCTTTTCTGTTATCGATACACCCAGCGATTCGTTCAATCTTCAGTCGAATTGAGACTCCATTCATAATTGGATCAAGTTCGGCCTCACATGGAATACTGTTCCCATCTCTGGGCAGGGGCTCCCCAGTGCCAGCTCCTTCCACTTGACCGCATCCAACGCAGAGCGGCTCGAATTGTCGACGACCGAGCCCTTTCCGATCGGCTCGATTCATTGGCACTGCGAAGAGATGTTGCATCCTTTTGCATTTTCTTTCGCATCTACCATGGGGAGTGCTCTGAGGAATTGTTCGGATTAATCCCAGCCGCCAAATTTCACGAACGCACATCGCGGCAGAACTCCCGATACCATCCACACCATCTGGATGATAGGCGGTCCACCACTGTGGGATTTAGAAGATGTTTTCTTCCTCGCACGACCTCCTTGTGGAATCGATTACCATCAGCGATTTTTCCGGACCGATACGACTTAGGGACCTTCAAGAAAAGAGCGTACTCCTTTTTAAAAGGCCGGCAACGCATCTGCGATTCCCCTGGTGTTGCAGTTGTTCATGGGCGGCGGTAGTCACTTACCATCAGGTGAGCCGCAAGCTCGTTTGCCCCCTCTCCTATAAAAAAAAAATTGGTGTAAAGAAAACTACATGCATCTAAATACAAGAAAATGCTTTGTCATATCATTTAGCAATAAGAAACACAGGCTTACTTTTTATTACAAAATAAATGGACAGGTACTTGATAGAAAATCCGTAGTTAAGGATCTTGGAATACTGTTTGATGAAAAGCTTACGTTCCGCGATCATTACAATCATGTGGTATCTAAAAGTACAAAACTTCTTGGTTTTATATTCAGAACTGCCAAGATTTTTAAAAATCCGCGAAGCTTTCTCATTTTTGTATTGTTCTCTAGTACGCAGTATTTTAGAGTACAACATAATTATTTGGTTTCCATACTACGCTGTCCACATAGATCGTATCGAACGTGTTCAAAAAAAATTTCTATCAATCTTGTGCTATAGGTATGGTTTAAATAGAAGTCTGCCCTCGTATGAAGACAAACTTAAGAAGTTTAACATTATGTCACTACAAACCCGGTGTAAAAATCAGGATATGACTTACCTTTTCAAAATTATTCAATCCCTTATTGATTCCCCCACCCTCCTATCATTTGTCAAGATTAATACTAAGCCCCATCGTCGCTATACTTTCCTAAACACTTTTGTTTTGCAAGTTTACAGAAATAATACGTCCTATTATAATCCTCTAGTAAGAATGTGTCGCCTCTACAATGACTTATTGATTAATAATAGTAAAAATATCGACATATTTAATGGCAAAGTAAACAATTTCAAAAAATCTGTATTAGATATACTTTGTAAATAAGGCAATATTTTTAATAAAGAATTAATTTTTCTAAATTTTCCACAACTTAAGTTTATAAGTAAGATTATAAGTATTTGCGCTGTAAACTCGTTACTGTAACCTAATATCATGTTGTGTGCACATGTTTTGGAATACCATCCAGATTGTTATTTTGCATTTATTATGTTCAATTGTTTATGTTTTGATGTTATTCTGTTTTGTGTACCTAAATAAATAAATAAATAAAATAAAATAAAATAAATTTTTTGACGAGTATGTTTACCTGGGACAAATAGTCCAACTAGGTAAGTCCAACTTCGACTGATAGGTCAATCTACAGATTCAACTCGGCTGGGCAGCGTTCGGGAAACTACGACACATCTTCTCGTCAGACATACCTCAAAACCTTAAAACGAAATTGTGCATCCAGTGCGTGTTGCCAGTGATGACTAACGGATCTGAGACGTGGTCCTTCACTGCTGGCCGTATGAGGAAGCTCAAGGTCACTCAGCGAGCTATGGAGAGGGCTATGCTCGGGGTTTCTCTGCGTGATAAACTTAGAAATGAGTATATCCGCAGTAGAACCAGAGTAACCGACAGAGCCCAACGGATTAGTAAGCTTAAGTGGCAGTGGGCCAGCCATATAGCTCGAAGAACCGACAACCTATGGGGAGGAAAGGTTCTTGAGTGGCAGCCTCATACCGGTAGGCGAAGTGTAGGGCGACCCCCCACGAGATGGAGTGACGACCTGGTAAGACATGCAGGAAGGCGATGGATGCAGGTGGTTCAGGACCGTGCTTTGTGGCATTCCTTGGGGAAGGCCTATGTTCCGCAGTGGACTTATGAAAGGCTGTAATGATGATGATGATATATTTGTATATCTAATTTCATAAACCTTAACCATCATAAAGCATAACCATTATAAAAGTAGCATAACTAAAAGTAATTAATGTTCTTGATTTCCCATTTTCTTTAGAGACACCGTAACTTTTTTCAATTATAAAAACAAAGTTGTTACATTTAATGAAAGGCGCACCGCTCTGTCTAAACCTGAAAATGGAATTCTTTGTACTACAACAAAGTTTCGGTAACAAGTTTCTGGAACAGAATAGTTGTTTAATAGATTGAGAGAGGCAGCAATTTATAGATTCAAGTTTTTGTACACTCGCGTGATACAAAATATTTGTTATGATCACTTATAGACACGTCAGAAATTACAACTTTCGTCTATGCGGGATAATAACATAGTGTCAAGATTTTTAAGTAAATTTTACTGTTGTTAGGATTTCTTTTATGCCTAGTAATCCATCTAGGTACCCTCTTACCTATTTCTGCCGCCAAATAGCAGTGATTTTTTATAGGATAAGGGTGACAAACGAGCACAAAGTCCTCCTGATTGTAAGTGGTTACTGTGGTCCATAGACATCTACATTTATCCTCGATTACGAGTCAAAATGCAGATGCGTTCTCACCCGTGAGGACTAAGATGGAATGCCTCGTTTCCAGTAAAAAGGGTCTCTGGTTCTCTAC